CAGCTTTTAGGAAATAAAAGGTGTGACGATACATAGAAAATCATGTTCGTTAAAACACAAAACCACACAGATTCCTATTTCACTAAATATCTTTATTTATTAAGATGGAATTTATCAATTGAATTCAGCTTTTGTTAAGTTATTCACCACAATAAAATTGATTTAAATTGATCTCCTTAATTCTTAAGTAATTTAAAAATAAAAGAGCCAATTTAGGTTTTTCATATCTTAAAGTCTAATTTTAGAGGTCTAGAAAAGTTAATCAGCAAAACTGTCAGCATTTCATTTAGGTACATGAAACCAGAACAATGAAAAATAATATGATATACAACGCAAAAAAATCACGAATATAAATCTCAGTTTATTTTTGGAAATTAGTTCAGGTATTTCGTATCGGGATGCCAAACAAGAGCACTGAAATCAATATCTATGAAAAGCTAAAAGCTCTGAAATTATAATAACAGCACGCGATAAATTTATTTCGCATTTTTTTTTTTTGTTAGAAACTTATACTTTTGAAGATTTGATTACCTTCAAAAATAAGTCCTTAGCTAGATGTAGAAGTGTCTCATATTTCAAAGACAATTTTAAATTTATGTATTTCATATTATTGATGTAATTGAGAATATTGTCTGATTTTTTAAATAAACATGGTATTAACCCTTTTATTTTGACGAATAAAGGACAGACAAAACTTTATTGAATTATCGAATTTCTTCACTTGAGATGTCAGACTTTTTCTGATTAAAATCACTTTATTTCTATACCTACTCCCAGCTGGGAGGCGGCATATCAACTCGGTTGCATCATCAACCCTGATCGGGCATTCCTAGTGGGCTCCATATGTGATGGCCTGATGGCCCTTTCAGACAACGGAAAGACCTGAAGAGGATGATTAGCAGTTTACCTTCTTCTAACCAGTTGTTCATTAGTCATATTTATACGGGTCAATAAAGGCAATAAAAATCTCATGCGAATACTCTTACTTCGAACCTTTTCTAACAATCGTGACCTCATCTTTTCAAATGTGTCTTCCCATTCCAATTATTTTTCAAAATAGAGAGTGTGGGAGAGCCATTCTTCAGCACGAATGGGTCGGGTCGACCAAAGTGATACCACAGCCCCACAGCAAACCGGCGTGAGACAACCACAGCGTTGTGTTTCACCGTGTGAGTGAGGTTACCGGAGGCCCAATCCTTGCCCTCCATCAATCCCTAAATCCTCAAAAGATCGGCAACGTACTCGTAACTCCTATGTTGTTGCGGAAGTCCATGGGCGGCGCTGATTGCTTACCATCAGGTAATCTGTTAGCTAGTTTGCCGATTAAAAAAAGAGAGATTGCGGAAAATAATCAACATACAAAAGCATACACGCACTCAATCACTGTGTGCTCAATCAATTTGTTTTTGTACATAAAAATTGCAGAAATAATGTACATTGTGTTAAAGCTTTTTTTTTGAACAAATAAATCAATTACTAGATCTATATGCCGATACTTTTTGTTGAGCTTTTATTTTCAAAACAGTTTTGGAATAGAACCTTCCTCTATGTAGATATATGTATACAACATACTCCCTACAACAGGCAGGTAGGAGATTTTTTTTTTCACTAATAAGTAATAATAATAAAAGCAAAGAATTATTTAAAGTCAGTGAAGAAATATAAATGAACAAAAACTTAACACAAATAAATGGGCCCTTATTAGGATTTTTCCTGACCCCTTTTCCTGTCCGGTATCCCAGGGGTCAAAAAACAAAAACTGATTAGGTGAAAATGAACTTTCTGAATTAGTAACATGGTTCAATTTTATTATATTTATTATAAATTTTAAACAAATGTTATTTAAACTTTATTGTACATATATACAACAAGTGTAGTTAAAAAGATATTATAAAAGATCTTAAAAAAACTTTACTTACCGAAAATGTTTATAGGAACCTTTAATTACTACGAAAACTCTTAAAAGTACTCTTTTTATCTATACTATCTATAAACTAATATTAAAAAGAGGTCAAATTTGTAAGTTTGTATGTAGGGGGTAATCTTTGGAACCTCTGGGCGGATTCCCAAAATTCTTTCACTTATTGATAGCTACAATGTTCCCGAGTGCTATAGGCTATAAAACATCACGATACAATCAAATGAAGCCGAGTAGCGTGTGAAACTGCGCGGTAGTAGCCAGTAAATTATAATCACAAATTACGTGCATACATACCTAAATTGCTATTGACAATAAAATATTATTTAGACAAGCCACTCGTTAGACCAACTACCTCGTCAGAGTCATAAGGGATGGAAGTGGCGAGTTCTATTTGGACATGGAGAACTAAGGAAGTTTATTCAGCAGTGACGGCTGATGATGAAACAGAATTACGGGAAACAAAATTTTCATCTAATAAAATGTGAAGCATTTAGAAAACTTGAACAATATTATCAAGTCCACGTTTCACAATATTTATTGGCCGATTTATTTGTTAAATTAACAAACTCCTGGATATACATCTTTTAACCTTCCTCGGATCACGTCCGACCCATCATGTCTCTCAAAATAAATCGTTTTAAGTAACTGCTTTGAACATTTATTTTGTAACACAGAAAACCCAATTCTAAATTTTATTTCTATGTACTAAAAGTTCTATTTTCTGCAGCAGTTTTCAATTCATCTTTTCTACGATTTTCAGTCCTTAATGTCTTGAAGTACGGTTGTTTCCAACTAGTCAAATTCAATACTTTTATCCAAATGTCAAAAACGATATTTTTCTATGAAAATTGTATGAAACATTGAATTATGACGTCATAGCATTTTAGCGTCAAATAGCTTATTTATTTTTAAAAAATTAGCTAAAAAATATGTAAAACTTAGTGTATCGATCGATCGATGAATAAAAGTATAGTTATTTTTCAATATTTTATCGTATTAAAACGTCGAATTAATTTATTTTTGACCTAGGAAACTACCCAATTATATATAGCGTTGGACATTGTCTTTCTAAATTGATTGATACATAGAAGTACGAATTACTAACAACATTTATACTAGATATTCAGTTAAGTTAATAAGTAAAGTACAGCTTCCAAATGACAAACATCGTGACGAAACTTAGAATAATATGTTCTAATTAATCGTTTCAAATCGCCAATGTGATTTGAACAAGAGAGTGGTGATTCCGAAAAAAAAAATGCTTTTTCTACGAGCTTACGCTGATAATTAACTAATGATTAACACGGTAAATTATTACAGTCTTGATTTATAGCTATACTATGAAGGTATGCCTATGTTACTATAAATTCAAGTATAAGGCATAGTTACATGTTAATTTACATACACAGATACTACTACACGGTAACATACACAGTAACATGTTAATTTTATATACATATCTGTAGATTGATAGCATGTGTATACCTATTAAATTAATGAATCGTATGTAAAAAAGCTCTACTAAAACTAAATTATACGACAAATGATTTAATGGAACAGACACAGGAATCGATTTCCTTTAAAACGAACGACCTTGACCAAGAACTTAAACGACCCGAAGAACACATGGAAAAAACGATAAAAAATTTACCACGTACAGTACAAATTGTCTACAATTTTACCTTTGACAATAATTCGATCTAAGCGGCACCAACAATTAAATAAATTATAGCTATTGAAAATTGATGGTATGGCCTCGTTGTAGGCGACCCCTCAGTATTGTGTACAACCATTAATAATTTGGGCAACACCATTAGGCCATCGGGCGTTCAGCGAACTTCATAATAAATCATCATTTTTCACCGCACCCTGTATAAATAGGGTTGTCAGAATACGTCTAGGAAAATTAGTATTGACACCCCTGGTTTAGAGATCGGCATCGGCATGGATATTGACGATGAAAATCCTATGAAATATTTATTTGGCTTTTGACACGAAAATATTTTTTAAATCTTTCGCTCGGAGATACTCAATTTGTTAACTTTCGTCTTTTAACATGACAGCTGTGATAAATTTTTGAAAATATTTAATAAACTATGACGTCTGTTGACGTTTTTTCTTCTAGGTCAATAGTAAAAGACCTTTTTTAAATTGTTCTTATCTAAACCACCAATCGTTAGCAATACAATTTACAAGAAAACAAGAATTAAATTACGGAATTGTCTTGTTCCATTTTCGTGAAAGCGCACCAAATGTCGGTGGTATTCGCTAAATGTCAACCCTGCACGCGATGCCCATGACGAAGTACAACCAATGTAAGTTTAATCCAAATGTAGTAGGGGAAAAGTTTGCAAATATTTTTGTTCATTTTTTAATATACATCATAAATTCTTTACACCGATTTCAATTTGTTATATTTTTTTATATTACGTTGTTCGTTACCATTTTTGAATTTAAATTTTTCGTTTGTTTGCGTAATCTCAAGTTTAAGAAATAATAAAGGTATATCGTCAGCATTACTTGTGTTTAAGCTGAAAGCTGTCGCTGTTTTTTATGTTTGTCAACCATACTAATATTATAAACGCGAAAGAACCTATCTGTGTGCAATTTGGTACAGACATAATTATGTAGTTTGGAACTCGAGAAAAGATATAGGATAGTTTATAAACCAAAAATCTACAGAAACTCAATTTTCCGAGTGAATTATGGCGCGTGCAAAAGCTAGTCACACATAAATCACCAGATTGTGTATGTATTTAAAACAAATAAATCTTAATGAAAAATAAAAAAAAAATATTTTTTGGTTAACAATTTAAAATGCTTATTATGATTGGTTTTGCCTTGCATTCGAAAGAAATTAATATTTAGGTAAACAATAACAGCCTGGGTCATGATTTCGAAAACCAAAATAACGACATACCTATTAATAATAAGATGCACATACAATAGACTCTATGAAGTTGATTACTAACCTGTAAAGCTAATATTAAACCTAATTACATCACTTCTATTTAACTATTATAGCATTTAGCTTATAATCCCGGGACGGACGGGAGCAGGAACGGGAACGGGAACAAGAATGAGAACGGGAACGGTATCGGGAACGGGAACGGGAACGGGAACGGAACGGGAACGGGAACGGGAACGGGAACGGGAACGGGAACGGGAACGGAACGGGAACGGGAACGGGAACGGGAACGGGAACGGGAACGGGAACGGGAACGGGAACGGGAACGGGAACGGGAACGGGAACGGGAACGGGAACGGGAACGGGAACGGGAACGGGAACGGGAACGGGAACGGGAACGGGAACGGGAACGGGAACGGGAACGGGAACGGGAACGTGATCATGAATGTGAATGTGAATGTTAATGTGAATGTGAATATGAATTTGAATGTGTACGTGTATGTGAACGTGAATGTGGATGTGGATGTGAATGTGAAAGTGAAAGTGAAAGTGAAAGTGAAAGTGAAAGTGAAAGTGAAAGTGAAAGTGAAAGTGAAAGTGAAAGTGAAAGTGAAAGTGAAAGTGAAGGTGATTGTGTATGTGAATGTGAATGTGAATGTGGATGTGAATGTGAATGTGAATGTGAATGTGAATGTGAATGTGAATGTGAATGTGAATGTGAATGTGGATGTGGATGTGAAAGTGAATGCGAATGCGAATGCGAATGCGAATGCGAATGCGAATGCGAATGCGAATGCGAATGCGAATGCGAATGCGAATGCGAATGCGAATGCGAATGCGAATGCGAATGCGAATGCGAATGCGAATGCGAATGCGAATGCGAATGCGAATGCGAATGCGAATGCGAATGCGAATGCGAATGCGAATGCGAATGCGAATGCGAATGCGAATGCGAATGCGAATGCGAATGCGAATGCGAATGCGAATGCGAATGCGAATGCGAATGCGAATGCGAATGCGAATGCGAATGCGAATGCGAATGCGAATGTGAAGGTGAATGAGGATGTGAATGTGAATGTAAATGTAAATGTGATTTGAATGTGAATGTGGATGTGAATGTGAAAGTGAAAGTGAAAGTGAAAGTGAAAGTGAAAGTGAAAGTGAAAGTGAAAGTGAAAGTGAAAGTGAAAGTGAAAGTGAAAGTGAAAGTGAAAGTGAAAGTGAAAGTGAAAGTGAAAGTGAAAGTGAAAGTGAAAGTGAAAGTGAAAGTGAAAGTGAAAGTGAAAGTGAAAGTGAAAGTGAATGTGGATGTGGATGTGGATGTGAATGTGAATGTGAATGTGATAGTGAAAGTGAAAGTGAAAGTGAAAGTGAAAGTGAATGTGGATGTGGATGTGGATGTGAATGTGAATGTGAATGTGAATGTGAATGTGAATGTGAATGTGAATGTGAATGTGAATGTGAATGTGAATGTGAATGTGAATGTGAATGTGAATGTGAATGTGAATGTGAATGTGAATGTGAATGTGAATGTGAATGTGAATGTGAATGTGAATGTGAATGTGAATGTGAATGTGAATGTGAATGTGAATGTGAATGTGAATGTGAATGTGAATGTGAATGTGAATGTGAAAGTGAAAGTGAAAGTGAAGGTGAATGTGGATGTGAATGTGAATGTGAATGTGAATGCGAATGCGAATGCGAATGCGAATGCGAATGCGAATGCGAATGTGAATGTGAATGTGAATGTGAATGTGAATGTGAATGTAAATGTGAATGTGAATGTGAATGTGAAAGCGAAAGTGAAAGTGAATGTGAATGCGAATGCGAATGCGAATGCGAATGCGAATGCGAATGCGAATGCGAATGCGAATGCGAATGCGAATGCGAATGCGAATGCGAATGCGAATGCGAATGCGAATGCGAATGCGAATGGGAATAGGAATGTACAACTAGGACGAGCGAGAGACTCTGTACGGTTAACTTCGTGGCTGGGCTACTTGGTATCATGGGTTGGATTGAATCACAAAATGACTACTACGAGTTTAGTTTCATGGTGCTCAATATGGTGCAAGAAATATTTTTTTTTTATAGGTTATATTATGGTTATGTAATATAAACATCGCATTTTTATTTTATTATTATTTTTTATTAGGTCAGGCAGCTATAAGCATTTTTAAGTCCCTATTCCGAGTTTTGTGGAAACTAAAAATTAGATAACATCTCAAACTTGACCCAACCCTAACATTAAAGACAGAAAATTCAAGTTTCCTTTAAACAAATTCCACTTAGACTAGTAACGATGACACTCTTGAATACCCTTCGCTCAAGACTAGCCTTAATTAAGGGTTTGAGTTCTCCCAAAGATTTTGACCTCAATCCTAAGGAGTTGAGCGAACGCTCAAAACGCAAATCATAAGATGATACTTACTGAAAGTGATTTAAAAACGTAGACTAATGAGGATGTAACAAGAAGGTACAAATATTAAACAGTTATTAAAAAAAAGCACTCCCATTTAATGACCAAAAAAAATTACCTGGAAAATTTATTGAAAACTAGCTTTCGCCCAACGCTTCTCCTACATGGTATGTTGATAAAAAGTAGCCTATGTCCTATTCCGGAGTGTATCATAGGCCTGTGCCAAATTTCATCCACATCCATCCAGCCGTTTGGACGTGATTCAGTTACAAACATCCAAACGTCGTTACTTTCGCATTAATGATATTAGTAAGATAATAACTTACTCACGTGAATAAACTGAGAAAAACTCTAATAGAAGGAGGAGTTGCGAGGCCGTTGCCGACCTTTTGGGGATTAGGGGTTTGGAGATTTTGGGAATGAGGAGGGATTGGGACAGGTGAAGGAGTGGGCCTCCGGTAACCTATTGCACACAGCGAAACACAACGCTGTGTTGTTTCAAACCGGTTTTCTGTAAGGCCGTGGTATCACTCCGGCCGAGCCGACCCATTCGTGCTAAAGCTTGGCTCTCTCACACTTACACATTTGCTTATGAATAAAATGTGATGACCTGATGTGACTTGAATCTAGAAGATCTTGTCTCAGTTTATTAACGTGAGGAAGTCGTTTTATTCAATAAACTTACCTGTGAGACATAACATAATAAAAAACGCATTTAAATTATGGTAGGTATACAAACTTTTTGCATCCACTAACACGAATTAATTTGGCAAAAAAATAAAAAAACAAAAGCGTTGGACCCACAGCCTAGATAGGTACCGTACCCTTATAAATTCTGATAAATGATAGCAAGGTCGACGGCGGCCATTAAGTTTGGAAAAATAAAAAAGTGTATACAATATACAGTGACTCCTCAGTAAGAGAACAGTGACAAATTGTTGCTTCACCGTTCGTCCGGACGGGCGTTTATCCTTGATTATACTTTTCTTCTTTAATATAGTTTAATTAGAAAGACTGTTATGATAAACTGCCTCTATTTATATTAACCTAATATTTTCTCCTGTGTTTTGTTTTCTTTTATACAAATACAACCCCACATATACCTACATCACACCCAGATTTAAAACTACAATTTGTGGATCACATAATCTTCGTCGCACAACAGCCAGTTGCCCAGCCATCGCTTCAATTGTGCATTCAAAATAATATTCTAAGTTATTTATTTATTACTATTTATATTCTGAACTAACTAATACTTTTATCATAGAAAATCAATAATTAAGAATATTAAAGACGTATTAATTAAAACAAACATTAGAGATTTACCAATTATTTTAACAATTATTTCTAATTAGTAAAGAATTCTACATAGCTACATTACGAACATACATACAAAATAAACAATGCATTCTAAGCAAATACCCCTTTCAAAAAACAAAACGCTTTCTGCTATGATAAACCTGTTTACATTTCCTTTTCTGAGAAATTTGCAATTTAAACGCACATAATCATCTCAAATGGAGGCCAATAGATTTGTTGGCATACTATTCTGCAAGAATTTCTGAGAAACACTGTATTCTAAGAAAGAGGTTTTTAAATAAAAGTATCGTATTTACTCGTGCCGTCTTGCAAAGTTCGAGTCACTATACATATCTCTATTTTATACACTGCACTTTGAAGAAACATTTTGCCGACTAATTAATAAATAACTCGTGTTTTTTAAGGGTTAGGGTGACAAACGTTGTAGTTGCGTTGCCATTTGAGGATTAGACATTGATAATCTTATTCAAAAATAAATTAAATAATCTCACTTCACATAGGCTATGCAGGTATATATTACATTGCAGGCCACTTCAAGTAGGTGCCGAGTATTATCACTACATAGTACAAAAAAGCCCGCTCTATCTATCCCTATGTGTGATTAAATCTTTAAAATTACGCAACGGATTTTGATGTGGTTTTAGATTCAGTGATTTAGAGATGGTGGAAATATTTAGTATCAGAATTACGAAAACGGGGGCCGGTCGCTTATTTATTATAGGACAACAAATTACTACAAGCAATGTACCACTTCTGAACCTATACCATCATATTCATATTACCACCTTCTCTTCTTTCTCATACCACCACCTATATTCATACCTTTCTTTACCATTAATAAAATACAAGTAAAAAATTCGTCTCCGCTACAACCTTAAAGAAACAACGAATAGATACTGTGACAACGATTTTCCTTTGCCTTGTACGTAAATTATTAAAGATAGAGGTAAAAACATGGAAAAGTAAGCAATGGAGTCTTCATTTCAATTTGTATCTTCAATAATCAGTTATTAATAACCCATGTAAATCGAAAACCTTCGAAATAACATCTTTTATTAATTTGTATACATATGTTTTTGAGGCGTCAAATTCAACAAATCAGTCAGTCAGTGTTATACTTATTAATAGCAAGTAATAATCTCGCATGTTTGTATAAATATACAAACATTACAACAAACATTATTATTGAGATTTGAAAATCGAAAAACACACAATTATTTTTATTCCTACCGACTTCCAAGCCACACATGTTTTCACTAACATGCAAATGACCAACTATCAATGTAGAAAGATTTGTTCTACGACAATACCGTGCCCTCCAGTTACTAAATACTCAAACTTCTGACAATAGAAGTTTCTCCCGGGATATTGGTCTCAGGTGAGCCATTATGCAAATAACAGCTATTTAACGAAACGTACTGTGAATATTACGAAGTATTTACTCGGACTTACATTAACTGTTTGCTTTGTTTAAAGTTCTTATCTGTTTTAGAAGGACAGATAACTGTAATAGACTTAAATTTACAATGTTGTTTAATATATTTTTGCTGAAGAACTTGTAGGCGTTGGTTGGTTTCACTACATATTTCATTGTAATAAAATCAGTCTTGGGACTAAACAACAAGTATTTTTTTAATGTAATAAGTCGGCAAACAAGCTGGCGGATTACCTGATGGTAAGCAATCAGCGCCGCCCATGGACACCCGCAACGGAGGAGTTACGAGTGCGTTGCCGACCTTTTAGGCGTCCTTTTAGGGATTATGGATTTGGAGATTGAGGAGGGATTGGGGGAGGAGAAGGATTGGGCCTCCGGTAACCTAACTCACACGGCGAAACACAACGCTGTGGTTGTTTTACGCCGGTTTTCTGTGAGGCCGTGGTATCACTCCGGTCAAGGTGACCCATTCGCATGGCTCTCCCACATTTGGTTTCTTGTTTCACAGACATTATAATATGTAGTTATAAAACACCGTATCTTCGTATTAGGATAATCCGAGCCTGTCTTACTTATTAACATAAAAGGCAAACTAAATGTGTACGGATCGCTTGATTGGCTTACAATCATTTCATTACATTAAAATCATAAAGCATCAATAGTAAGGCTTCGGGAAATTAGTGATTATATTTGCGTCTCTGTAATATGTTGGTAAACCGAAGGTCGAAGCGTCCGCTACTTATGCATGAGGCACAGGTAAGTACCAAACTTTTTACACCGCCAAACTTTTTACAGTAATTTCCTGAAGCCTATTGATGTTTTATGATTTTCAGTTAATGAAATTATTATTTGATTGTTTTTTATGAAATGATGAAATGATTATTATTTGTTTGTTGAAATGATGATTTGATAATTATATGATTGAAATCGACAAACCTCTTTCATCTCAATGATTCATTTGGTCAGCAGTTAGCACTTATTGGCTGATTAAGTGGTCATGGGTGAGTAATATGTTGTAAAAGATGAAAATATTCTTTTCAAAATACACTCTCTATAAAGGACAATAAAACGGTTCACGGTCAATGAAAATAATCTCTCAACGATGCAAAAGATACGAAAGTTCTTTGAACCCAAAATGTTAAACAGATTTCAAAAGTTTGAGGCACTTATAGTTGGCTTACTCGCTTAAAACTGAGCTCTTATTCTGAGATTATTCTAAATGAACTGATTTAGTTATTTCAATTAATTTATATTCAAACGTTCTTATCCATAGGAATCTACACTTTGGAACGAGCAAATAGCTTCCCTAGAGGACAGACGGACAGACTGACATGCTTAATGTAACTCTTGAAATACTTTTATCCTTTTTTGCTTGACGTTCAAAAGTGCCTACTGTGGTCTAATTCAAAAAAATGATTTGCTGCAAAAAATTACTTTTTTAAGAACTTTTTTTTAAACTCGTAGTTATGAAAATATAGTACAATAAAAAAATATAGTATTTCAGAAGTTTCCTAGTGTAATTGATTTAGAATTTACACATATATATTGTGTAGGTGTAATATATGTTTTACTTGCGACCTACCCCATCTTTGCACAGATGCAATGCTGATACTAAAAGTCTTCTCTATTTATTGAATTATATTAAACATAAAAACGTCCCTCTTAAACCATTCTATCGAAAAAAAAAAACGCTAAATATAAAAATATAAAAGGGACATAAAGACAGATAAGGCGACTTTGTTTTATACCATGTACTGATATTAAGTTG